CAAGGTAGCGGAAATGATCAACATTTTCTAATGTTATACCATTAAGCTGTGTTTCTGGCATTGGAGAGGGATTGACTGGTGACTGCTGGAAGAACACTTTGGTTTTCGTATGATATTGTTTCTAGACCCACTTTTTGCTTGATATTCATACGAAAGCTGACTGGCACAACCTGGGGATCACAACCAGACACAGTGAAGACATCAGCCCTTGCGCTATGCTACTCTGCTGCTGAGTATGCATGCCCAGTGTGGAACACATCTCACCATACTAAAACAGTAGATGTGGCTCTTAATGAGACATGCCGCATTATCACGGGGTGTCTGCACTCTACACCACTGGAGAAATTACACTGCTTAGCCGGTATTGCACCACCTGACATCCTCCGGGAAGTAGCAGCCAATAGTGAAAGGACCAAGGCAGAGACATCTCCAGCTCATCCCTGTTTGGGTATCAGCCAGCACGTCAACGACTTAAATCTAGAAATAGTTTTCTAAGATCTACAGAGACACTCGCTGGAACACCTCAGCAAGCGAGAGTCCAAAAGTGACAGGCTCAAACCCAGAACCTCAACCAATGGCTGATACCAAATGAGAGACTCCCCCTGGGCACACAGAAGACTGGGCGACTTGGAAGGCGCTGAACAGACTGCGCTCTGGCACCACGAGATGCAGAGCCAACCTTAAGAAATGGGGCCACAAAGTGGAATCCACGACATGCGAGTGTGGAGAAGAGCAAACCACTGACCGCCTGCTGCAATGCAACCTGAGCCCTGCTACATGCACGATGGAGGACCTTCTTGCGGCAACACCAGAGGCACTCCAAGTGGCCGGATACTGGTCAAAGGACATTTAATCAACTACCAAACTCGCACATTTTGTGTTTTCATTGTCTGGCTGCCCCTGACACGATAAATAAATACTTTCGTTTTCTCAATGTTTAATGACATGCCGAGCATACAATTGTCTGGCTGCCCCTGACACGATAAATAAATACTTTGGTTTTCTCGATGTTCAATGACATGCCGAGCTTCTCGTATGCAAGGGATTTAGAGGCCAAAGCCAGCACTTTGAATTGTGCTCAGAAGCTAATAGGCAACCAGTGGAGCTGGTGTAGCAAGGGTATTGTGCGCTCTCGATATCCCACTTCTCTGAGCAACTTGGCTGCCGAGCGTTGGACTAGCTGAAGTTTCCGAACAGTCTTCAGAGGCAACCCCACGTAGAGTGCCTTGAAGTAATCTATTCAGGATGTAAACAGAACATGGACTACCGTAGCCATGTCTGACCTCCCAAGGTACGGGCACAGTTGGCACACAAGTTTTAATTCATATTGAGTTTTAATTCATATTATATGCGCTCTACGTGGGGCTGCCCTTGAAAACGGCTCGGAAATTTCAGCTAGTTCAGCGGGCGGCGGCCAGGATGTTAACTGGTGCTCCGTACAGAGAGAGGTCAACCCTCCTGTACAAGGAGCTCCATTGGCTGCCATTCATTTTCCGGTCCCAATTCAAGGTGCAGATGCTCACCTACAAAGCCCTAAATGGTTTGGGACCTGCCTACCTGCATGACCGCATCTCCGTTTATGAACCTACACGTTCCCTCCGATCATCTGGAGAGGCCCTGCTCACGATACCACCTGCATCGCAGGTGCGCTTGGTGGGGATGAGGGACAGGGCCTTTTCTGTGGTAGCTCCCCGACTCTGGAACTCTCTCCCCAAGGATATCAGACAAGGCCCAATGCTGGCTGTCTTTAGGAAGAGCCTGAAGACCTGGCTGTTCCAGTGTGCCTTTCCAGAATAGGAAACTCCTGGCCTCAAGTCCCAAATGCACCTTGTTAGAGACTCAGGATTATCTGCACATTGCACCTACCTCCAACACCCTTCACATTTTACCTGTCAAGCTCAGCACTTTTAATTTTGTCCATGACATTTGGCCCGGCCCTTGGTTTTAATTGTGTCACAATGTTATTGTTTATTGTCTTGCTTGATGTTTTATTATTTGCTTATGAGTTTATTGTGTATTGTATGCTGTGTTGTCGGCGGCCTTGGCCTTTGTAAGCCGCATCGAGTCCTTCGGGAGATTTTGCGGGGTATAAATAAAGTTAATAATAATAATAATAATTGTGCAAAAGCTCCCCTGGCCACTGCTGAGACCTGGGGTGAATCTAGGATCACTCCCGAACTGCGAACCTGTGTTTTATGTTTTAACAATGCATTGAATTATGGCCAATTTAGAAGCTGCTCTGAGTCCCCTTTGGGGTCGAGATAGAGCGGGTTAAAATACAGTAATTAAATAAAGTGCCATGCCTATTGATGCTATATTAATAAACGCTATATTAATAAACAATAAACAATAATAATAATAAACAATATTAATAAACAACAACAATAACAGGAAATAGCTGCTTTCCTTCCTTGTCTCTTGGGGAAATCGAAAAAGTTGTGTGATATCCCTTTAAGGTGAAAAATTATTATTATTATTATTATTATTATTATTATTTCGTATACTTCTACCCTGCCCTTCTCAACCCCCGAGGGGGGACTCAGGGCGGCTTACAAAAAGGCACATCTTGGTGCCTACACAAATACAATAACATATAAAACCAGCAATTAAATGGTCAACAATTAAAACAATTTAAACAACAATATATCGCAAAATCAATAGCCAATCTCAGACACAGTGTTCGCCAGTCTCAGAGTTCATATTTCATTCCACCTTGTCCAATTCCTTTTCCATAGTCACAGTCCTTTATTTATTTGCCAGATTACCCAAACGCTTGGTCCCACATCCATGTTTTTAATTTCTTTCTGAAGGAAAGGAGGGATGTTGCTGATCTAATTTCCCCGGGGAGTGAATTCCATAGGTGAGGGGCCACCACTGAGAAGGCCCTGCTCCTCGTCCCCGCCAATCTCACTTGTGACAGAGGCGGGGCCGAGAGCAGGGCCTCCCCAGAGGATCTCAGACTCCAAGATGGGTCGTAAAGGGAGATGCGTTCAGACAGATACGCTGGGTCGGAACCGTATAGGGTTTTGTAGGTCAAAACCAGCACTTTGAATTGTGCTTCGAACTGGATCGGCAGCCAGTGGAGCTGACATAGCAGGGAGGTGGTATGCTCCCTGTATGACGCTCCAATGAGCAATCTGGCTGCCTCCCACTGGACTAATTGAAGTTTCCGAACAGTCTTCAAAGGCAACCCCACGTAGAGTGCATTGCAGTAGTCTATTCGGGATGTAACAAGAGCGTGGACCACCATGGCCAGATCCGACTTCCCAAGGTATGGGCGCAGCTGGCGCACAAGTTTTAATTGTGCAAAAGCTCTCCTGGCCACCACCGAGACCTGGGATTCCAGGCCCAGTGATGAGTCCAGGATTACTCCCAAAATACCAAAACCTATTATGCTGAGTTTCCTAACTGGATATTTTAAGTTGATTTTAATAATGTGTGGAATAGAATAGGTTGGCCTTCCCTCAAATATCAACACAGAATGGGAAAATTCTATTCTGTACTTGGCCTGAATCTTCTCCATCATTTCCCGAAGCCATTTCTACCTCCAGGGACCACAATCCTCCCGCTGCGCAAGCTTCGCAATTTTTTCCTTCTGCCATCCCGTTGTTAGAGCTAGCTTTGATATCGTACGCGCAGATTCGCGTGGCCCCCATTTTGTCACGAGAGGAAAAAAAACCCAAAGAACCCCCGCTCTTTCCGCTCATCATCCTTTAACCCCTTCTCAAGCAAGAACTTCCATTTTCAAAGCGGAGCCTTTTAAGTCGGAAAGTGCGGCTCCGGAACGGCCGACCAGTTTCCTTCTTTCCCCTTTGCGCCTTGCTCTTGTAAGATTTAGGCTGCTGTTTGGAATCAAAAGATTCGTCACTAGGAGAAAAATAAAATAAAATAAAGGCGATTCTTACATTCTATGTACTCACACGGAGACTTTTTAAAAATAATAATATATTAACGTAGTTATATTAACGAGTCTTTCCCCCCTCATCTAACTTGTTCTCTACATTGTGACGAAAGTAACTTCCATTTTCAAAACAGAGCTTTTTAAGTCGGAAAGTGCGGCTCCGGAACCACCGACCAGTTTCCTTCTTTCCCCTTTGAGCCTTGCTCTTAAGATTTAGGCTGTTGTTTAGAATCGAAAGATTCGTCACTAGGACTGGAAATAAAAATATAAAAGATATTCTTACATTCTATGGAACCACACGGACACCTTGTTTAAAAAAATCATAACGTAATGGGTTATTATTATAATATATTATTATTATATATATTATTATTATTATTATGGGTGTTTTTCCCCCTTCATGTAACTCGTTCTCCCTTAATGGGTTATTATTATAATATATTATATATTATTATAATATATTATATATTATTATTATTATTATTATATTATGGGTGTTTTCCCCCCTTCATCTAACTCGTTCTCTATAGTATGACGAATATAACTTCTATTTTCAAAGCTGAGCTTTTTAAGTCGGAAAGTGCGGCTCCGGAACCGCCGACCAGTTTCCTCCTTTCCCCTTTGAGCCTTGCTCTTGTAAGATTTAGGCTGCTGTTTGGAATCGAAAGATTCGTCATTAGGAGAAAACAAAAAAATAATAAAGGAGATTCTTACATTCTATGGAGACTTTTTAAAAATCATATATTTGTGTAGTTATAATAACGGGTCATTTTTTCTCTTTCATCTAACTCGTTCTCTACAGTGTGACGAAAGTAACATTCATTTTCAAAGCAGAGCCTTTTAAGTCGGAAAGTGCGGCTCCGGAACCTTTGAGCCTTCCTCTTGTAAGATTTAGGCTGCTGTTTGGAATCAAAAGATTCGTCACTAGGACTGGAAACAAGAAAAAAAATCTTACATCCTGTGATGGAACCACAAGGAGACTTTTTAAAAAATAATATAGTTGTGTAGTTATAATAATCATTATCATTTTCCCTCCCTTATCTAACTCGTTCTCTACAGCGTGACGAAAGTGCGGATGAGGAAACGGAAGGAGGAGAGAAAAACAAACCAAACACCGTCACCATAGAGAAGAACAAGGGTGGCGACGACGAAGGAGAGGGGGAAGCGGGATCTCGCGAGACCCGGCGAGAGTCTCGAATCGGAGGTTTTGGCCCCGCCCACTGGTCCCTGTCGGCAGCGGCGGTGGCAAGAGGTAGCGGGTGCTTGTCACCCTTTTCCCTTCTTTCCCTTCTTCCCCTCGCTCTCTCTTCCTCAAACCTCGGCTTGTCCTCTATGGGCGGAGAGCGGGAAGAAGGCCGCGAGTGGGAGAGAAGAGACTGAGCGAGAGAGAGAGAGAGAAAGGCAGGAGGGTGCGCGAGCCAGGCCGGGCCGAGAGGGAGGGGGGGAGGGGGCGTGCGCGCGCCTGGCTCCTGAGAGGGAGGGGGGAGGGGGCGCGCGCTCTCTCTCTTCCGCGAGGCGCCAATGACGGGTGGGAGGGGGGGGGAGGCCGAGGGAGCGGGAGCGCGCGCGGGGTGGGTGCACCTGGTGGGCGGGGCCGGGCACTTGGCCTGGTTTTGTGTGTGTATGTGTTGTGTTTTGTTTTTGTTTTTTTGGAGGATGGAGGGCTGGGAAGGAGAATATAGGATCCAGTCTTAAATCTGTGTGTATCTCTGCATATCTGTCTATCTATCTATCAGGCATGGGCAAACTTGGGCCTCCCTCCAGGTGTTTTGGACTCCAACTCCCACCATTCCAAAGATCCAGAGGAATAAGATAGGATACCCCCCCCCCCCCCCGTATATATGTATGCATATCTATCTATCAGGCATGGGCATACTTGGGAGAAGATAGGATTCTCTCTCTTCTTTCTCTTTCTGTATATATGTATGCATATCTATCTATTTATCAGGCATGGGCAAACTTGGGCTCCCACTATTCCTAATATCCAGAGGAATAAGATAGGATCTTCCCCCCCCCCCCCCGTATATATGTATGCACATCTATCTATCTATCTATCTATCTGGCATGGGCAAACTTGGGCCTCCCTCCAAGTGTTTTGGACTCCAGCTCCCACAATTCCTAATAGCCAGAGAGAGAAGATAGGATTCTCTCTCTTCTTTCTCTTTCTGTATATATGTATACATATCTATCTATCTATCTGGCATGGGAAAACCAACTCCCACTATTTCTAACAGCCATAGGGAGAAGATAGTATTCTCTCTTTTGTCTCTGTATATATGTATGCATATCTATCTGGCATGGGCAAGCTTGGGCCTCCCTCCAGGTGGTTTGGACTCCARCTCCCACCATTCCTAACATCCAGAGGACTAAGATAGGATCCCCCCCTGTATATATGTATATCTATCTGGCATGGGCAAACTTGGGCCTCCCTCCAGGTGTTTTGGACTCCCAACTCCCACCATTCCTAACATCCAGGGGACTAAGATAGGATCCCCCCCCCCCCCGTATATATGTATGCATATCTATCTATCAGGCATGGGCAAACTTGGGCCTCCCTCCAGGTGTCTTGGACTCCCAACTCCTACTATTTCTAACAGCCATAAGGAGAAGATAGGATTCTCTCTCTTCCTTCTCTCTCTGTATATATGTATGCATATCTATCTGTCTATCTGGCATGGGTATTACATGGGCCTCCCTCCAGGTGTTTTGGACTCCAACTCTTCCAATTCTTTGGAAGCTTTTAAACAGAGGTTGGCTGGCCATCTGTAAGGGGTGATTTGAATGCAATGTTCCTGCTTCTTGGCAGAATGGGGTTGGACTGGATGGCCCATGAGGTCTCTTCCAACTCTTTGATTCTATGATTCCAGTTGGTTTGGACTCCCACTATTCCTAAGAGCCATAGGGAGAAGATAGGATTCTCTCTCTTCTTTCTCTCTCTGTATATGTATGCATATCTATCTATCTGGCATGGGCAAACTTGGGCCTCCCTCCAGATGTTTTGGACTCCAATTCCCACTATTCCTAATAGCCAGAAGGGGAAGATAGGATCCTCTCTCTCTCTTTCTCTGTATATATGTGTGTGTGTGCATATCTATATATCTATCTGGCATCGGCAAACGTGGGCCTCCCTCCAGGTGTTTTGGACTCCAACAGCCAGAGGGAGGAAGGAGAAGATAGGATCCACCTCTCTCTCTCTGTATATATGAATGTATATCTTTCTTACTATCTGCATGGGCAAACTTGGGCCTTCCTCCAGGTGACTTCAACTCCCACAATTCCTAACAGCCAGAGATAGGAGGGAGAAGATAGGATTCCCACCCCCACCCCTCCTTATATATGTATGCATATCTATCTATCTATCTGACTTGGGCAAACTTGGGCTTCCCTCCAGGTGTTTTGGACTCCAACATCCCCCCCTCCCCCCAAATATATATATGTGTGTGTATGCTTATGTATATATCTTGCATGGGCAAATTTGGGCTTCCCTCCAGGTGTTTTGGACTCCAACACACACACACCCCATATATATGTATGCATATCTATCTATCTTGCATGGGCAAACTTGGGCCTCCCTCCAGGTGTTTTGGACTCCGACTCCCACCATTCCTAACAGCCTCAGGACCCTTCCTCCCCCCCCCCCCACAACAGCCTCAGGTCCCTGAGGGGGGAAAGGAAAGGTCCTGAGGCTGTTAGGAATGGTGGAAGTTGGAGTCCGAAATACCTGAGGGAAGGGTCCAAGTTTGTCCATCTCTGATGTAGATGTGAGGCCTGTACAACTTGTGGCCCTCTTTGTGTTTGGGGCCGCCAACTCCCAGGAGGCCTAGCCAGCTTGCCCAATGGTCAAGCATTCTAGCAACCGAGGGCCCAAACCACAGGCTGTGCAGGCCTGATCTATAAGGTATTAGTAAGTGTGGGATACAAGAGGGGGGGATATTTCATTTTATATATATAGAAAGAGAGATAATGTGGTATAGCATGGAGAGGTGGTGAGGAGAAAGTCCTGATATATATGGAGTGGAGGAGAAGCAAAGTAAGATTAACAGATATATTTTATAGGAAGAGACTGGTATTGCGTGTCTGTGTATATATATCAGGCATGGCCAAACTAGGGCCTTCCAGGTGTTTGAGACTCCCAACTCGCAGAAGCACTAGCCAGCTTGCCCAGTGGTCAAGAATTCATAAATCCCTGGAGAGCCACAGGTTGTGCAGGTCTGTTCTATAAGATATGGGTTAGTGTGGGATACAAGTGGGGGAAATATTTCATTATATATATATATATAGAGAGAGAGAGAGAGAGAGAGAGAGATGTAGTATAGTGTGGAGGGGTGGTGAGAGAGTTCTGATGTATATGGAGTAGAGGAGAAGCAGAATAAGATTAAGATATTTTATGGGACGAGACTGCTATAGTATGTGTGTATATGTGTATACACACACACACACATATATATACATAGTCACCTATAGATCCACCACCAAGATCCTACACTTGGAAGGCAATCATACTTGAACACGAGGGATCGCTGATGATGATCTCTCTCTCTCTCTCTCTCTCTCTCTCTCTCTCTCTCTCTCTCTCTCTCTCTAGGAAAGTGGTACTTGCAGGGCACAAATGGGGAAAATATTTCATGAGGAAGAGGATGTGGGATAGTGTGATTATCAAGGGAGGAGGACTGTGGGAATATGTGTGTGTGTATAGAGAAAGAGAGGATAGGGGTAGGTGAAGGGTTCAATTGGGAAAATATTTCATGGAAAGAGGATGTGGTATATTTTGTGTCAAGAGGTGGCAGAGACAATATAAGTGCAAGATACAATTGAGAGAAATATTTCATAGGAAAGGGATTTAGTATTGGCAGAGGGAGGAACCCTAAAAGTACTTTAGATATAGAGATAGGTGTGGGGTACAAGTGGGGAAAATATTTCATGAGAAGGAGAATGTGATATAGTGTCATAGTGGAGATGGGGAGGTGAGAGAGAATCCTGGGAATACTGTATGTGTGTGGATAGATAGGGAGGTAGAGAGCTAGAGGCAGCAGGGTAAAATTAAGGGAAGGGGATGTGGTATAGCATGTGTGGAAAGGGGGAGAAGCTGAATCATTTGGGGATCCTCTAGGACTAAGCGTTGAACTTGGAGGCCCAGGTATCTGCGGTAGCCAGAAGGGCCTTTGCTCAATTAAAACTTGTACACCAACTTCACAGAAGCCAGATCTGGCCACAGTGATCCATGCCTTAGTTACATCCCATCTGGATTACTGTAATACTCTCTATGTGGGGCTGCCTTTGAAGAGTGTTTGAACACTTCATTTGGTCCAAAGAACTGCAGCTAGGTAGCTCACTGGAGCTGGCTACAGGGAGTGGGCAACCCCCTCCCCCCCTTGCAGCCGGTTCACTGGATGTCAGTGTGTTTCCAGGCACAATTCAAAGTGCTGGTTCTGACCTTTAAAGCCCTAGACCACTCAGACCAAGGCTATTTGACTGACCATACCCCCTTGTACGAACTTGCCTGGACCCTGAGATCTTCAGGAGAGGCCCTTCTCTCAGTCCTACCTCTAAAGCAGGATATAAATAAACATAAACATAATAACAATAAGTAACATACATATAAATATAAATTAATATGATAGGGTAATTTGGAATACAAGTGGAGGAAATAGTTCCTGGGAAGAGGTATGATATAATGGAAGGAGGAGAGAACTCAGAATACATACATGCATGTAGGGTAATGGTTGGTATGCTGTACAAGCTGAGGAAATACTAAGTGGAAGAGACTGTGTTAATAGGAGGGGAACACACAGAAACATAAAAATAGGTATAGTGTAGAGATGGTTGTGAGGTACAAGTGGAAGAAATATTTCATGGGAATGGGAGTATAGGTGAAAAAAAGAAATGGGTTTTATGGGTATTGGGACTAAGGAGATACCTGAGTAGGCAGGTATCCTTAACAGAGGAACACACAAAACAAGTTGGGAGGAGAAGAGAGGATTTGGGGGCGGGGGGGCACAGACTTCAGAAAGGAAACACTCCTTCCTTCAGCACACATTTCCATGACATGGAGAGAAGTAATAAACCTAAAGATAGTATGGCCAATTGAAAAATGTAGGTATGGAGAAAGTTTAAGAAGCTAGAAAATTAGCAAAATGCATGGAGAAAAAAACAGTAAGGGATTTTAAATTGTAAAGAGAATTAGGATTCAGCACTTTGCAGGAAAGAGAATTTCTAGTAGAAATATAAATTCGGAAAATAATGCAAACTACGTCTTTTGAGTAGTGATACATGTTACTAAAAATGAGAGGAAGTGCTTTTCTAAAGCTGATTTTGGAGGAAATTTTTGGGCTAGACTTCTGGCAAAAGAAAAGATTTGCAGGAAATCTTTGCTTTTAAAAAACTTGATTTACAGTATGTCATTTTTCTTTGCCTCTATTCATCCTGAGTACAGCTTGCTACATGTTGATTATGCACCTGTTACGAAATTTAGCAAGATTGCACATTTTTTTCTTTTAGCTGTTAAAATACATGAACATAAGTAAAGAAGAGAGTGTCCCCAAGGTTTAGAATTTGATGTCTTTATTCTCAACACCCTGTTCTAACAATATATTTCAGAATTTAGTTTATAATCTCAGAGGTTTGTACTGTGCTGTTTGCTGTTCCATGAGAACATTCCACAATTTGAATCTGGGTCTGTTACTATGCATTTTTCTCAATTACTCATTTTAAGACTTCTTTCTTTGTGTTCTTTCTAGTTCTCAAATACCTTGTTTTAATTATGGACTGAACCAGCTCCAGCCTGATTTTATTTAACGGAAGGAAAAAAATATTGTCTTTGTTTATTACATTTCACCAATAGCTTGAGCCTTGAAGTGATACTCTACAACAACAGGTGGGTTGTTCGTACATTTTGTTTTCCTTTCACTTTATTCATTTTGATTTACTCTGTGAACTATAAGCTTGCCTTTATGCAATAAGCAGTTTAACAAGTCAATATCTCACATTATTGGGGTTTCCATGGCTTGTATTTTGATTCAACAGTAAGCAGAACACACATGAGCCCAGGAAAGTTTGACAGTTTCCATATATTTTGAGAAGAAGAAATATATTTTGAGGTCAGGCATGAATGAATGGATTGTAAATTACATCTAAATAGATATGAAAGCAACTTCCTAATAATAAGCACGAGAAGTTTTGATATTCCTTGCTTTGAAGTGTTTCAGTGTGATGTTATTTAAGCATCTATCCAGATTACAAGTTACAAAGAACTTGTTTCAGTAGATAATTCTGATTCTAGGAATATAATTACATAGTATTTTCATATTGGAAAAAGACATAATATAAATTCAGTTAAATACATTTTAATTACTGAATTCTTCTTCTTACATTTCAAAATTACTTGATTGTCTTCTGTAATTTTAAATCATCACTCCTTATAGCTTCTTGAAACAACAGGAAAACCAAAATTATACAAATTCTGTTTTTTAAAAGTCTACCCAAAGAAAAGTTTAATGATGAATCCCTTGTAAATAATGTTTTCTGAAACAAATTTCCATTATCTATCATATTCTAGATATCTTTCCCAACTGTTGAAAATCTTATTTGATAATTCTTCTGCTTCTGAGATTACAGCAGATTACATCCTTCCAATCATTTCTCCACAGTCAAGGGGTAGACATTTGTTTTTCTATAAATCTTGTTAAATCCAGAGATTCTCACACAGATCAGTTTTCTATCAATTACCACATTTTCATGTTTCCTGTAATTGCCTGGAAAGGCATCTTATCAGAGCTCTAGCACACGTCTGTAATTGCAGAATCCATATTTACAATGTACATCCCATGTGATTCAAACTCCTTCAAAAATGGCCAGCTTAATAAATGCCCTGATTGCACATTCAAATATCGCTGCATGTCCTGAAGGCTTGTTTTGTATAGTAAATAATATTGTGAAAGTTTAATGGATTTTTTTAGAATACTTATTTTTGTTTCAGATAAATTTTGTGCTTCTTTGGGTAGCATAAAATTAAACCTTTTCTGCCTGTGGAATGTACAAAGGTGAATATTCTCTGTGGAAAGTTGTGGGTTGCAGAGATGGCTAAGAGTGCTCTATTGTTGTGAATACTTTCTGCTTGAAGTAATCCACAAAGTTAATATAGATTTTGTCTGATTCCATTTTACAGTGTAAATGAGTCAGAATGGATCAGGAAGGTGGGGGTGACTTCCAGAAAACCCCTAACTTCCAGTGGAGAAACTACAAGCTCATTGTTGACCCCGTGCTCAAGCGGGCCCCACATAAGATCTACCGCTATGATGGAGTGCATTTCAGTGCCAGTGTAAGTACATTCATATTTGTATGCCCTGTGTGTATGATTTCTGGAAAGGAGGGTAGCATGATCACCTTCATTGCACTGGCTGTAATTATAATAAGTCTTCCTTAAGTGTTAAGTGTCCCTTCTTATGGTTTTGAGTTTTTGGTTTTTATTCTCCTAATCCAATACTATGCAATGAAAGAGTAATAACTGTGGTTTTGAGTTATATCCAAGGCAGTATTGCTGACACCATTGGAAGAATTTACTCCATGCCTTATAAGCCCAAGGACCTCACCAGCTCTGGGTACCTCCTTCTCCAGGTTATAATAGCAGAACCCCCCCCCCGCCCCCCATTCCCAATAATGCTGATGTTGTATGTCTTTGTATCTCTAGGCTCCAGAAACTGAAAATATGGATGTTGAAATGTCATTTGTTTAGCTTTAATTTTTATTCTGGTTCATATGCTGGTGTTGGCACCTGAAATGCTCATTAATTCAAATGATTGTGTTGGCACCTGAAATATTCATTAATTATTTTAATTTCTTGTTAACATGCAGAGCAGGTGGATCTTGTGTGATAACAGACACTGGGAAAATACATATGAGCTAAATAAGGAAAGCAAACCAGTAATGATTAATCCCTTATGGTCCAGTGTAGTGCAGCAATTTTACATGCCAAAGCACATTAGGCTTAAGCATTTACCAACCTATAAAATTGGCAAAGACACTTTTCCCTAGTCATTCCCTACCTGGTGAGAGAAATGGATCATTGGAAAAGCATTTAGTTAACTGATGTTAAATTGTTCTATGAGAGAAGGTTCAGTTTCAGAATTCACCTGCAAATGAGAGCAGATCTTGTAGTAGTGTGAATATTATTATCTTGGGTTGTCTGCCATGGTTCAAATACTTCAAATCATTAACCTCTGGCACTTCGATCCTTCACTTGCATTGCTTGTGGGATCATTGCAAAAAAATCCTTTACATTTACACTTAACACGGTGTCTGTATGGTCAGAGCACCTAGCAAGCACACATCATCCTGCTCATTTTACAGACAACTACTTGAGGTAGAATAATCTGTAGCAATAGGAACCAAAACATTAAAGCCAGCATTTCTTTCCATCCTTCCTATTTTAAAATTTAAATATTAAAATTATACAGTAGCAGTGCTGGCTACCTTTTCCTTCAAGTTGTAGATATTTGCCTCCTTTTGTTTATATTAGTGGTTCTCTACCTGTGGGTCCTCAGATGTTTTAGCCTTCAACTCCCCAAAATCCTAACAGCTGGTAAACAGGCTGGGATTTCTGGGAGTTGTAGGCCAAACCACCTAGGGGCTCACAGCTTGAGAACCACTGGTTTATATGCATCTTCAGCTTTTGAAACAAGATTACTACTCCAGTTTTCCTGGGTAAGTCAGGAGACCAATGTAAATGTACAAACACACCCTTCCTTTCCTTGATTTTTTTAATAGGCTGCATTATGATGACAGCATTGCTGTCGCCTCCCACATATGTTATATGAACAAAACCCCAAACCTCTATCGCATGCTGATACAGAGAGAGATATTGTCAGGTTAACAGCTGTTCTGTCATTGAGGTTTTCTGATCAGCATGAAAATGGATGCTTATTTCTCGTTGACTCGCTTCTTCCTGCCCAGCTTGCTTGTACTTGACATCCCTAGTTTCACTTTCTGACTCTCTTTGACGTGATATCATTCTGTTGCTTTGGTTGGGTATTCCCCACACAGCTAAAGCAGTACTGATAAAAACAATTTAAGAACTGCAGGGAATCTGGAGGCAAGTGAAGAACACTGCCTTTTCAGCTAGACTGTCAAGCTTTCTTTTCTAAAGAAAGTACCAGCACCATATTTTTCCCATTTACTACAACTACACCATATTTTCCCCATTTACTACAACTGCACCATATTTTTCCCATTTACTACAACTACAGGTAGTCCTAAGTTACAAACAATGTTCTGTAGGTTTGTTCTTCAGTTGAATTTGTATGTAACTCAGAACAGGTACATTTTTAAGTTTTACTCCAGCCAAAACTATATATCTTTTAGCTTTGGATAGCACAGGAAAGGGTTGACACTCCTGTGGTATTTGTTTTGCTGTCTGTTACCCTGTTCTGAAATTTTCACCATGATTTCTGTCCCTGGGATAATTGGATCTTGAAAAAAAAATGGCTTGTTGTGGAAACAAGGATTGGTAATAAAGCTTCAGTGGAGACATGATAACTCTTTCAGGGGTTAATTTCCCTTCTGAGGGGTAGATTCCTCTCAGTTCCTGCTGTCTCATCCCCATTCTTAACTATGAGTTGCACATAGGTTGAATGTTTGTAACTCAGGGGCTGCCTGTATTTCTATTTTTCCTAAAACCCTCCAAGGAGTGCCAGTTCATGGTTTTCAGATTGCTACAAGTTTCAAATATGATCACTTTGAATAGCACTGATTTAAGGAAAAAATAGTTTTGGTTTGGACTGTGTGTATTTGAACTAGTAGTGATGATTGGAAGGTCTTGCCCTAATTTCCGCTCAGCCAAGAAGACAGCAAGTTTATAGTACTTAAACCCACCATTTCTATTTCACATCTCAGGCCCTTTCTACACTGCCCTATATCCCGAGATCTGATCCCAGATTATCTGCTTTAAACTGGATTAAATGAGTCTCCACTGCCAGATAATTTGGGATAAACAGATAATCCGGAATCAGATCCTGGGATATAGGGGCAGTGTGGAAGGGACCTTAGTAAGACATTTTATATTGACATATTTTGGAAAACTTATTTCCAAATATGTAGGCAAGCTTTGGAATAAAAATTGAAATGTTCACCGCACCTTCAAAAGTTCTTATTTCCACCTGCTTTTCTCTCTGTCACTTGTAAAGTGGCTTTTTTTTTTTTTGTTACCATTTGAGGGTCAACTGCAGTAAGCTTCCCATCCATGTAGTGGAAAGGAAGAGTAACTCATTTACAGCTGAGCTCTTAGTCTGGCAGGTTTGGGATTTAACTTTACTTCTTCAATGCTTGGTCGCTGGTCTGCTCTGATTGTTAAAGTTTTCCTCATATTAGCAGACCTTAATATGGGTCTACATGCAGACAAGCATATTTTATACTCTTGAGAATGGTTTACAAAGAAGCGTGAGTTTGTGCAGGTGAGAGCCTGAAATCCATATGCAATTCTTTAGCACTGAAGATTGAGCCTTTTCCATTATAAATCACAAACTACTGTGGGAATAATGATGCCCTTTAAAGGCTAATTTCCATACTGTATTTCCAGATCTTGACCTCTTATTATTTTTTTCATTTATACTAGTTAGATGTGGCTTAAATGCCCAGTATAATAATGTAAAGAAAATAGACTATCTCCATTATACTTGGAAAAATATATTGCAGTTCCTGAAAGATCACCACTTTTTTTGAAGGACTCATAACTGAGAAAGCTGTACTTAATATATCAAAAGTTATCTTTCTTTTGTGGAAGTATAACTTTAGTACTTTCAGCTTCACTCTATCACTTTCTGCTCTACATAGTTCTATTGCATTTTGAGAAAACATTGATTCAAGTACAACCAGTAGAATTTTCTAGTTCTCTAAAGCATGCTTCTTAAACTGTGGTCCTCCCGATGTTTTGGACTTCTCACAATTCCTAACAGCTGGTAAGATGGCTGGGATTTTTGGGAGCTAAAGTTCCAAACACTTTTAGGAGCACAATTTGAGAAACACTGCTCTAAAGGTTTATGCATGAGTCTGAGGGCACTGTTACATTTTATTTTTCCTACTTATACTTTTGATTGTTTGTGAAGTAGAATATTCTGTGAAAGCAAAATAAAGTTACCAATGTATCCATTTGTTAATTTCCCCCTTTAGTACTAGGATTTGTCAATATCTGTCTACAACAATAACTAGAAAGTTATGGATAAATTTAGATATGAAAGTAAAGATAAAGGCTTCCCCTTGACATTAGGTCTAGTTGTGTCTGACTCTGTGGGGTGGTGCTCATTTCAATTTCTAAGCCAAAGAGCTGGCATTGTCCGTAGACACCTCCTAGGCCATGTGGCCGTCATGACTGCATGGAGCGCTGTTACCTTCTTGCCAGGGTGGTACCTATTGATCTACTCACACTTGCATGTTTTCTAACTGCTAGACTGACAGAAGCTGGGGCTAACTTCCAGTCAGAAAATTCAAGAGCTCAGCGATTTAATCTGCTGTGCCACTGCAGATATATAATTTAGATCAGTAATGTATTTTTTACACAGAAAAATATAGCATCAGAAAAATTTCCATTCCACACCTCCAGAGTGAAGATCAAATAAATATGGTTTTGACTGATAACACTTTGTTTTCTCTTAAATCTCTTTGAATTGTCATTGTTGACTAACAAAAGCTCTACTTTTGAAGGATTCGGGCTATGAGCCTGTTAATGAAGTGCGGGATCCCAGACGCAGGATATGGTCCAAAACAAGAGACCTTTCCCTTCCTGTCCCAAAGTTTAAGGTAAGGCAGGCATAACCTCACTGTGTGTCTTTTCCCGCTGTTTTAACATTTCTAGTCTCCCAAGTTCAGCACAGCTGCCTTTATTGAGCCCACTAGATGGCCAGATGTGTGCGACTGTCATTGTTTCTCACACTGTAAATGCACTGACTGCATGCTACTGTAAATAGTATCTCTGTGATCTCTTTGCATTTTCAAAGATCTTCCACAGAGGGGAAAGTTCAATGGAGGAATGGAATAAGTTGTTGGGAAACATGAAAACTATTTTGTAAGAAGTATATGCATGTGCTTTTTCTGTTTGAATTTGGGCTGATGAGTAGCAGTCATGTTTTAAAGAGGAAGCCTTCTGCATCCTTCTCATTGTGAGTAGGACCTCCCATCGAAGGGAGAATTGGATTCAAAAGAAATTCAGAAAACAAACTGGATGACACCTGCATAATGATTCTGGTCATATGAAGTGCCAGTAAATGACAAATGTGTATCTTGAAGGTTAAAAATGTATGTCAGGGAAGGGAGTTTGCAAGAGAAGGAATAAAAAAAAGTACTTCCAGTCAAGAAGAGTCAAAAAGTGCACTTGTTTTGCTTTATTTGCAGCATTTACATGTAATTTGTAATTTTTTGGGTATATTAATATAATTGTCATAGTTGTTTTTTATATTATACGATACATTTTTTTAGCTTGTTGATTTATAAGTTGCCTTGGGAGAAAGGCCACATGCAAATTAATTTCAGTGAATAATTGTGTCTTGGCTGCAGCTGGATGAGTTCTACGTGGGCCAGATCCCTTTGAAGGAGGTCACCTTTGCTCGTCTCAATGACAACATCAGGGAACCCTTTCTGGCAGAGATGTGCAAAAAGTATGGAGACATTGAAGAGATTGAGATCCTCTACAATCCGAAGAACCGCAAGCACCTGGGTCTTGCCAAGGTGCTTTTCACAAGCACGAGGGGGGCTAAGGAAACAGTTAAGAACTTGCACAACACAACAGTCATGGGCAACATCATCCATGCACAACTGGATATCAAAGGTAGTTGACCTTGGTCATCCTCTTGGCTCAATATTGCCATCCTGGTTCACAGTTAATTTCCACTTCCCATAAATGGCATTTTCTCCCGACAGGTCAGCAGCGAATGAAGTATTATGAACTGATTGTGAATGGTTCCTACACACCACAGACGGTTCCCACTGGGGGCAAAATTTTGAATGAGAAATTTCCAGTAGACTCAGTAAGTCCACCATGCTCTCTTATGTGAATTAAGAAGAATAGCTTGATTTGTGGACCACTTTCCCATGATAGGCCAAACCAGTGGTTTTTTTCCCCTTTTCTATTCAGTATGTACTTTCAAGTCCTAAGAAATGAGGCATCCTTTCTCTGCTGCCACACCTTCAACACACCTTCCCTTTTCCTGTTTGCTTATTGTCTACTTGCAAGGATTCTGCTGCCTTACTAGTCATAAAATAGCCCAAATAGGCCATCTCAGTTTACAGTTAAACAGAGGCAGAAATCACAATCATTTTTTTCATTGCTAAATATTTCATAATGGCATTTGTCTTAGTGGTGGTTGCTTTCCATGCAACTTGTTGTAAGCTATTTTATGGGGTAGCCCACCTGTAATACATCTCAGCAGCAGGTGAGAAGAAAGACATCCAGACGAGGACTGAGTGTCTCCTCAATTGCTTTCCTTTTTCAGTCTGAGTCACGAAGACGCCACTCAACTGATTCCTCCTATCCTAGCAGCGTAATGCCTTCAACGCCTGGTAATGGTACCCCTTGCTCTCAGGACACTCCCTATTCCAGCGGCCGGCAAGACACACCTTCTTCGTATGGTCAGTACACACCACAATCTTCCCAAGGGACTCCATATACTCCCCGCGGAGGAACACCGTATTCCCAAGATTCTGCTTACTCTAGCAGGTAAGTGATGGTTGTCTGAAATATTAAAAATTAACTGGGTATTTTTTATTACAAAAGTGTTAGAGTCAGTGGGCCAAAGCGAGCATCGTCCTGAGTAGAGTGAGTAGGCTGAAGCCTGTTAGTGTTTGTTTGCCTCAGTGAGGGAACTCCTCAGGCTGTGTGAGGAGGTTTCTTTGTGAGTTAGGTCTCACAATGTGAGGTAAGCTTTAATCTGTGAGAAGGCTGACTATGAGGAAGGCCTGGTGTGAGAAGCTTCGGTGAAAGAAGCCCCAGGTTGAAGGCCACGTGTGTGAAGCTCCAGTGTATAAAGGCTGTTGTGTGTAATAAAGGCTACTTTGTGAAGCTCCTGTGTAAGTTTGAATTGAGAGGAAGCTCCTTGAGAGTGAAGCTAGAAGCGGTTTATCTGCATAAGAAAGAAACCCAGCATGGAAGCAAAGAAGGAATGATAAAGGACTTTATTAGTGCTATAGAAACCTTGTTGTAAATACTGTAACCATATTATTTTACTACAAAGAAAAGCCTTCCATGGAAGATATAACATTGATCTGCGTGTTTTTTTTCCGTTTTATCACTTTTGACTATTGGTGCTGGGTCACACTGCTACTGAAAAGTTACTTTACTGTACGTTTATGAGGAGGGCTTTCGTTAATAAGCCAACAGGCACAACAATATATTTATTTGCCCCTAACCGATCAAGATTTAGTTTTGCCACTTCCTGGAGTACATAAGAAATGGTGATTCATTTGTAAAATGGGTTTTTTTACAAATGGGGTTTTTTACTTCCGAAGGAGAGTTGACAGTTGCAGTGGAGAAGCATCAAAATGTACTTTTCATGAAATGATGCACATGTACTCCATAATGTTCTTCTGTGATTTTGTAGATTTTTATGGTGTGAACAGCAATGCAGAATAAAAAGAATATGCATTATGTTGCATCTCATAAGCTCTTGTAGCCAATGTATTCTAGACAAACTGAAATTAGGTTTAATCTTGTAATTTTTTGACAAATTAATAAGCCCTTTTATTTACTGTAGCACTACGATGTTTCTCAAGTTTCAGGTATTTTTATTAATAGTGGCTAGGGATAACCAGACAAACAGGTGTAGGAGAGTGAGAGAAACAAAGGTACTGATGGGATTATTCTTTCTTTGTTTCCTTCTCCAAGGCAAGGGACGCCAGGCTATTCTACCTACCAGACAGAGTCAACCTCCTACAAATCCCGCCGACATGAGAACAGCTTTTCAGACTCATATTCTCGCCGGCACTATTCTTCATCCTCCTCCTCTTCGTCGTCCTCCTCTACCACCACTTCCTCCTCCTCTCATTACCGCAGCAATGACCATCATTACCCACCCTTTAGTCAACAGTTTGATGGCAGCAGTGGCAGCGGCAGTGGCAGCAGCACTACTGTCTCGACCAGCAGTAGCCGGTACCAGCGCCTCTCATCCAACTTGGAAGGCCGGTCATCCTCCTCTTCCTCCTCCTCTTCCTCCTCCTCCTCTTCCCATCGCTCCCACCAAAGAGAGGACTCTAGTTTCCATTCGCGAAGAGAACGCTCCCAGAGGGATGATGCTACTCCTTCCTCCACCACAGTTGTTGCTGCTGCTACCCCAGCCTCCTCTACTACTCCCTGCTCATCTTCATCTGCAGCCACGGCCTCAGATGCTGCTCAGTTCCAGAACTCTCATAGTTTTGCCCAGCAGAGCACAGAGCTTTTCCCAGCACCCAGCGTGCTGTATCCGTCTTACGTGGCTACTCCAGAGCCCTTTCCTGCACCTGCAGAACCTCTTCCTGTGGATCAGGACTACCGGCTACTCCCCACAGCTGAAACGTTTGCTGCCAACTCTCTGCCCCCTACAGAATTTCTTGCTCAGGAAACTAAAGAGAACATCAATCCAGTAGCGACATCAAATCTGGGAGTCAATGACCAATCCCATTCCCCTGCTGTGCAGTCCTCTCCGGCCCGATCTGGCTCTCCAGCACCTGAGAGCACGAATGAGAGTGTTCCTTTTGCTCATCACAGCAGCTTGGACTCCCGCATTGAGATGCTCCTGAAAGAGCAACGATCAAAGTTCTCTTTCCTCAATTCTGACACAGAGGAGGAAGAGGAAGAAAAGGGAGGTCCCAAGGGGGCGGAGCCGCATGGACCCTGCACTCCACCACCGCCTCTTCCTGTTAGCTTTGAAGATGTTGTGCCAGCCTTGGACATGGGGTCAGGAGCTGGGTCCCCCAAAGCCAATGGGCAAGACAGGGTAAGACAAAGAACTTGGAATCTGTCCTGTAGGTAGGATGTGTGCATGAATGTATTAATGCATTCTAAAGAGAGAAATAATTTTCAGAGGAGGCAAAAGTTTGATTTCAGTTGGCAGTTCTTGAAGCCTATCCTTCCTAACTTCTTTTTTTTTAACTGTAAAAAGCATTTTTTAGTTAAAGGTTGTGAATTATGCCAAACAAACTTGTTTTTAAGATAACTGGCCTTTCTTTTCACATAGTGGTGAATAACATTATGTGGTTATCCCTTGTTTTATTTTGTAACAGTACCTACTTGATTTAACAATATTCAAAATTATCTTAAGGCATGTGTTTTTTATTATTAGAGAAATATTCAAGGTACCACATGAACAATGGAATCATATACATTTAAACTGAAAACACAGGAAATTATTACATTCTTTGTGTAAATTTTATCTGTTAGTTACTTAAAAAATGATAGGAATGTTTTTGTGAGCTGCGTAAATATGAAAAATTATTTTTGGAAATTTCCTCCCTAACTTCTGACTCCCCTCCAGTTGTGGGGGGTAATTTCTCACACACTCCTTCACTTGATTAAAACAGCTGAAAAAATCACATCTCCCATAAACTTTGTGGTATGGTTTATAACCGTGGTTCCCAACCTTTTTTTGATCAGGGACCACTTGACCCGGGACCACTCTCCAACATTAGTAACAAAAGGGTTACAGATCAGTTTTTGGTCAACTTTAGATTTGGTTTGGTTATTTGGGGTGCTGATTCAGAAAATGTATTTATTTATTTATTTAATTAATTTGCATAACTTATATCCCGCCCATATCAGCCCGCAGGCGACTCAGGGCGGTCTACATATCGGCACAATTTGATGCCATCAATACAATACAAAAGCAAAAACCATTAAGTGCATTTAGACAAAAAAGACAGTGCAAAAACAATTTAGAAAGAGCTATATCCTCTCATTCCAATCCTCATCCGTTTCATCGTCTTGGCCGTTCCTGGGTCATTCTCCATCTCAAGCTTGACTATCTATTCCGGGGTTCCGAATGCTTGCTCGAAGAGCCAAGTTTTTACTCTCTTCCAAAAAGTCAGGAGGGAGGGGGCTGATCTAATATCCCTAGGCAGGGAGTATTGTATAGATCACATCACCTCTAGTTTCTGATACAGAACATATGCTACCCAGTAGTCACTATTTGCTCTCCCACAGAAAACCATATTTAATAATCTAGAGCCGATGCAGTAATCAGCCTCTCCACTCCCAACATCCCTGTTGGCTCGGCACTATAAGAGGGTTTTGCGAGAGCAGTCGCTCTTGTTGCCGCATGGTTTCCAGGCAACGGTGAAGTAATGGTGAGGTCAAGGACCTTATTTTTGTTCTTGTAGACCACTGGTTGGGAACCACTGGTTTATTAGAACATATAAGACTGAATGAACACATTCCCTGAGTGTAGGATCTTGTTTACAGTTCAAATACCACTATCCGTAGACAGAGCAGACATGCAAAAGCCAAACTCTAAAATCATTGGTCTAAGAGTACTAAATATCTATGTGCATGAATATGTATGCATTTGGTTTATATGGGTAAAATATTTTTTGAAATTGTCTAGTTTTAACTTGTGCCCTTGACAAACATTTAGAAGTTCCTTTCCCAGTTTTTAAAATTCTAAACCTTAGAAATGGTCAGTATAGCAATTCATAGCACTTTGGAGTCAGGAAAACAAAGATTAGAAATGTTGGACTAGGGTAAAATTTTATATATACTCAGTGAATTATATATATAATTTGACACAAAAGTGCAAGACTACTGAAAGGAGCATGAGCCAAGAGCCCGAAACAGACTATATGTGATGATTCCTATAGTAAGGGAATATATATATATATATATATATATATATATATATATATTCCCTTACTATATCAATACTTCTGACAGACTATACAGTATTAGGAATTGGTTGGGTGATAAATATATATTTTAAGAATCTACCCTAGTCCAACATTTCTAATCTTTGTTTTCCTGACTCCAAAGTGCTATGAATTGCTATACTGACCATTCCTAAGGTTTCGAATTTTAAAAAGTGGGAAAGGAACCTCTAAATGTTTGTCAAAGGCACAAGTTAAAACTAGACCATTTCAAAAAACATTTTACTCATTACTATAGGAATCATCACATATGGTCTGTTTCAGGCTCTTGGCTCATGCCCCTTTCAGTGGTCTTGCACGTTTGTGTCAAATTGTGAGGGTATGACCACATCTGAGAATCTCATAATGCAGTGAGTGAAAAGAGAAAAATAGTAGACATCTAAACATTTTTGTTGAATTTTCATTAAAAAGAACTTTACAAAAAGTTCAATACTTCTGGCAGACTATACAATATTAGGAATCGGTTGAGTGATAACAAAAGAAATGTCGGTCTTAGTACAAAAAGAGGGAGTGGGAATTACAGGGAAATAAAGGAAACAATAAATGAGTGCACACAAGCAGTGATAGTATTGAGATGGAAAGACAAATCACAGTGGACAACAAATAAATGGTATCAGTATAGGGTGAACCAAATGTAATTCAAAATTAAATGATTCAAAAGATAAGGAAAATAGAACACAAAAAGTTGAAGAAAGTTGGAACCAGATCAAGAATAAGTCTAGAGATCAGGCCATAAGAAATAGGATACAAATGTTATACAGTATGGAAATCTATAAGGATTGTCTCAAAAAGGATTAATATGTAAAAGAAAATAATCTTCGTGGTGGTGGTGGGGAAATGTTGTGTATGTTTATGTCCTAAAAGGGCCTGAGTTTATACCATATATATATATATATATATATATATATATATATATATATATATATATATATATATATAAAGGACTATTTAAAAAAGAGTTCTGATGAAACTTTTAAAAGCCCAAAAAAGTTCTTTTGTTACTCAACATAGAAATTACTAGGGCTGGACTAGCAAGAATGGAAATAGTTGCTGGAAAGAAGATAGATTATACTGGACTACTTGACTCACTGTGATTTCTGTTTTCTTCTTTCTTCTTCTTCTCCTTAATAAGGCATCACAGCACTCATCAGGTGAAGACATGGAAATCTCTGATGATGAAGCAGAAGTCGAGCCCCCGACCCCTCTGACTGGAGTGGCTGAGCCCCATTTTGCCATGATGCCATCGACCCTGGGCCACATGCCAATGGGCATGTCCTCTTTTACTCCCCATCACCAGCAAGAGCTGCCTCCCACCTACCCTATACAGCCTCTCATGTCTGTCTCTCTCCCACACCTAGCAGGGAAATCCCATCCGTTACCCAACTACAACCAGGTTGGGCCACGCCATCCTCACCGCTTGTCAGATTTCAGAGGGAGGGGAGGCATGGTGGGGGGAGGCCGAGGTGCCCCCCACATCTATGACTTTGTCAACTCGATGGAGCTGATGAACCGCCTTGGCAACCAGTGGGGCGGGATGCCCATGTCTTTTCAGATGCAGACTCAGATGCTGAGCCGCCTGCAACAAATGCGTCAAAGCAAAGGCCAGTTTGAGGACCCTTTCTCCTATCACCGAGAGGCAGCAGCTTTTTGTGGCCAGCCCCTCTATGGCCACGGCTACCTAATGGACCAGGGCAACCACCACTTCCAGAGAGACCAGCTGTTCATGCAACAGCAGTCAGTGGTAGGAGGCTCAGAACAGCAGCAACAACCACAGCATTCCTCAGATCAGCCACCTCTGCCACCTCCACAGCCACTCCTTGATTTCCGGGGCACCCCGTGGGGATACCAAGAGGAAGTAGCTCTGCCCCCACCCCTCCCCAAGGACCCTCATTCCTCTGTAGTGGACAGTGTGCTTGAGACATTGATGCAGGAGATGAAGAGCATCATGCAACGTGACCTCAACCGCAAAATGGTGGAGAATGTGGCTTTCAGCACCTTTGACAAGTGGTGGGAGCGTAAGGAAGAGAAAGTTAAGGTGATTAGGGATATGAAGGGTGTGGCAAACCAATATTACTGGGATTGGGAGGGGTCTGGACTCTGCTGGGTTTGAGGGCAGGATTCCTTAGAAGACTAGTTTGTCACATTTTCTCCAAACAAGGACCATGGGGTCCACTATATTGTTTTATAGTTGATGGGGTCTGTTTTTATTGTTATGTTTATATACGGCATTGAATTTTGCTGAAGTTGTAAGTCACCTTGAGTCCCCTCTGGGATGAGAAAGGTGGAGTATAAATGAAGTAAATAAATAATATAATATAATAGGGCCCAAACATTTCCCCATGTTTTCCCAGTAATTTCTAGCTTGAAATTTCAAAAAAATGGGGTTGTAACCCTCTATGAGACAGCCGCAATCTCAGAATAGAGATGAGATGGTGCTGGATAATATTTTCTTGTCCTCCAGCATGTTCCACTTACCCAACCACTTTGACTTGCCTGTGCTTTGTCCACCCTCAAAATTCTGAACCCTGTTTTCTCCCTCTCTACTTCTCACTGGTGTCACTAATATCAAGATTTCCTTCCATGCAGCCTTTCCAGAGTGCTGTCAAGCAGCCAGCCAAGGAAGAAGAGAAAGACAAAACCAAACTGAAAGACCCTGCTTTACTGTCTCTGGTTGACTGGGCCAAGAGTGGCGGTACTGGTGGCCTGGAAGGTTTTGGCTTTGGTGGCGGCTTTCGAGGAGTGTTGGGGCTCCCATCCTTCAAGGTGAGGGTCCCATGTTCTGTGAGGTTGGTTGTTGCTGGAATTCAGCTCCAGGTTCTGAAGTCTTGTTTGGTTCACAAGGTTGCAGGTTATATCAGAGGTGATTTCTCAGGAGACATAAGACTGACTTAGTTACTGTATACTTTTCAAGCACCCAACTTACAAATGACTAATAGTTAAGAACAGGGTTGAGACAACCCTGGATGGCATAGTTTTAATAATAATGGATGTAATGTTCTTAATTGTTTTAATGTGTATTAATTTTAATATTAATGTTTATTTTAATTGTATGTTGTTTTTAAGGCATTGAATAGTTACCTATGTGTAAAACCTCCTTGAATCCCCTTCAGGGTTGAGAAGGGCAGGGCATAAATATGGCAAATAAATAATAAATAAACAGGGAATTAAGAGAGAAATCTGCCTTTAGGAAGGGAAAATCACTCCTGGAAGAGTTAGCATGAGGAAAACGTGTCTCCACTGAAGATTGATCACCAATCCTTGTTTCCACAACAAGCCAATTTTTTCAAAATCCAATTTTCACAGGGACTGAAAGTCAGGTGAAATCTAAAAAATAGCATAGTGAGCAAAACAAACACCGCAGGAATGTTCACCCTTTCCTGTGCTATCAAAATCTAAAGAAGATATATTTTCGGCTGTTGCATTTTAAAAATGTACCTGTTCCAACTTACATACATATTCAACTGAAGAACAAACCTACAGAAGAACCTATCTTCTTCATAACTTGGGGATTGCCTGTAGTAGCTTTCAAGGATGTCGCCATGATAATCACTTGCATAAAAAGAGAAAAGGAAAGGGGAGGATAATAGTACTTTAAGTCTAACTGGGGTTTTTTGTGCACAACCTTTCGTGAACCCATTGCATCTGAGACCCCTTCTACACTGCCATATAATCCAGATTATCAGCTTTGAACTGGATTTAAACATTATCTGCTTTGAATTGGATATGAGTCTACACTGCCAGATAATCCAGTTCAAAGCAGATAATGTGGTTTTTATATGGCAGTGGAAGGGGCCTGAGTTTATACCATAAAAGCTCATGCAGAAATGAAAATCGGTGCTTCTACATCCCTTTAACATTCCTTTCTCCATTGTATGTTCCATCCTAAGTAATACACTGCTTTTGTGGTTGCAGGTGAAAAGGAAAGAGCCCTCCGAAATCTCAGAGGGCAGTGAAGTGAAGCAGCCACGCCCTTCTACTCCCATCGAAGAGGATGAAGATGGTTAGTTGCTTCATATCAGGAGTTTTGTGGACAGTTCTTGCATTTCTCTGATTACCCAGAAAGTATTTCAGTTTCTTCATTTTCCTAATTAATTCTGTCCTATCCCCCTTAACACCACTTTGTAGATAAAGAGTCCTCACAGATTCACAAGCCTTCCAAGAGGGATGATGAACGGATCAAAGGGACGGGAAAACGTCGGAAACTCTTCTGCCTAGACAGCGAAGGGGAAGAAGCATCAGATGACTCCTCTTCTGAAAAGGTGAGAGAATGGCATTCCTTTGTAGGCAGTCACAGCAGTGTTAGGACCATATAGAAGAGATTGGAGCAAGAAATGTATAGATACCAAATTTTCTTTTATACTCTCCTTCTCCACAAATGGGGAGTGTTAGGATTAAGAATATGATTTCAATGCATAATATTTAAATAGTTTTGATATTGGCATTTGCCGTTCTCTATTCTGTATGCCCAAGTGACTTTATGAGTTCTGACAAGACTTTCATACTTCTTTTCATATGGATACCTTAAATTGCTCTTTGCTTCTCAGTGTGCAGTTACTTCACCTTATGGACCAGCAAGCAGTGAATCTGATGTGATCTTGTTTCTTACTTACCAGTGCCAGATCTTCCTGGCTGAGAAAGAGAGTAGTGGCCATAACTGGCCTACGTAGCAGCTGTTGCTACAGTGGATTCCTAGCCCCTTTCCCACTTCACTTTTCCTTTGTTACTGCAGCCAAATCATTTTTCAGAGTTTAAACTATTGGGTGAGTGGGCTTATTAACGAAATACCCTCCTCATGAATGTACAGCAGAGTAACTTATTAGCAGCAGCGTGACCCAGCCCAAAGTATTTATTTGTCGTGTCAGGACAACCAGTCAAATTATAGTACATTTCTAACAGAACAAAGCAAACAAACAGACAAAATACAAAACTTGTGAGTTTGGTAGTTGGTTAAATGTCCTTTGACCAGTATCTGGCCACTTGGAGTGCTTCTGGTGTTGCTACAAGAAGGTCCTCCATTGTGCATGTGGCAGGGCTCAGGTTGCATTGCAGCAGGTGGTCAGTAGTTTGCTCCTCTCCACACTCGCATGTCGAGGATTCCACTTTGTAGCCCCATTTCTGAAGGTTAGCTCTGCATCTCTTGGTGCCAGAGCTCAGTCTGTTCAGCGCCTTCCAATTCGCCCAGTCCTCTGTGTGCCCAGGAGGGAGTCTCTCATTTAGTATCAGCCATTGGTTTGAGGTTCTGGGTTTGAGCCTGCCACTTTTGGACTCTCGCTTGCTGAGGTGTTCCAGCGAGTGTCTCTGTAGATCTTAGAAAACTATTTCTAGATTTAAGTCGTTGCCGTGCTGGCTGATACCCAAACAGGGGATGAGCTGGAGATGTCTCTGCCTTGGTCCTTTCACTATTGGCTGCTATTTCCCGGCGGATGTCAGATGGTGCAATACCGGCTAAGCAGTGTAATTTCTCCAGTGGTGTAGGGCGCAGACACCCCGTGATAATGCAGCATGTCTCATTAGTGATAAAAAGAACAAAAGCCCAAAGTGATAAAAAGAACAAAAACATACAGACCAATGTTATCTCTTCCATAGGAGGCCTGTCTTTATAGCAAAATAATATAGCTATACTATTTACAAGAACAAGGTTTCTAGAACACAAAGTTCTTTATACTTCCTTCTTTGCTTCCACGCTGGGCTTCTTTCTCATGCAGATAAACAGCTTCACTGTCACAGAGCATCTTCTCACACCGAAATAACAAAGGAGCTTCACACAGTAGCTTTTCACACAGCAGCCTTCACACACGATGGCCTCCAACCTGGGGCTTCTCTCACCGAAGCTTCACACACAACAGGCCTACTCACACTGAGGCCTACTTCACACCGTGGCCTTTCTCCCACTGAGGCCTTCTCACACTGAGGGCTCTCTCAGCCTGACGTGAATGAACACTGAGACCTTCTCATACTGAGGCCTACTAACACACTGAGGCCCTTCTCCTACAGAGACTTCTCACAGTGGGGGCTACCTCAAGGCTACTAAACTATAGCCACACCTGCTTATATTGAACTACAGCTTTTGCTGAGTCGTTGCATCCATTTAACGCTTTCAGTGCTTGACTTATATTTTTGTAATTAAAAATACCTAGTTAATTTTTAATATTTTTGAATTTTAATTTTAAATTTTTTAACATAAACTCCATTTTTGGGATGGTTCCCCAGCCATTGTAAGTGTCTTTTTTTCCCCCTGGCAATAACTTTATTGAAACATTTCACCTTAGAAAAGTCTCGCTGTCTTCGCAGGAGGAGGAAGAAGAGCAGAGAAGGCAGAAAAATGAAGCTTCCAGGGAACAAAGTGCAAAGGCATCTGAAGGTATCTACCAACTAACAGTGGATTATAGGAAGCTCAGATGCTGCCAAACAGAATTTATGAGAGCCAGCATGGCAAAGATGAACTGCTTCCCATAGTATTGAAGGAAGTTGCTGATATACTCTTATGAACTGCTTGCCAGGATTTTTGATACATCTTGGAGAACAGTAGAGGTCCCAGAGGGCTAAAGAAGAGCAAACATTGCTCTTCTCTTTAAAAAAAAAGTAGATCCAAGAAACAATGCATCAGTCAGCCTGGTCTCAGTATCAGGAAAACTATTAAAAGGGGTTATACAAGAGTCTGTTTGCAAGCATTCTGATGACAATGAAATGATCAGTAGGACTGGCATGGGTTTGTCAAGAACAAATCCTACCAAACTAATGTAATCTTTTTTTTTGGGCAGGTAACTAAGTTTAGTAGATGGTGAGAATGCTTTGGTTGTCATTTATTTGTATTTCAACAAAGCTTTTTACAAGGTTCCCCCATAATGCGTATTTTGATTAGCAAACTGCTTAAGTGTGATATAGATGTAACATTTTCAGACTGAGCCATAATTCTTCATCAATGGAGCCAAGGACCTAGAAGGGTGGCGATGTCTCCTTTTCTGGATGGCTTTGGAGAGAGGTTAGACAGCTGTATTCTGGAAGTGCTTTAGTTGGAGATCCTGCATTAAGCAGGGGGTTAAACTGGATGGTACATAAAACTCCTTTTGACTCCATGATTCTGTGCTTTTTAATTTTTATACTTTTGTATATTTTAAATGTTTGAGTCACAGAAAGGGAAAAAGTAATTGGAACCCCATCCTACGTCTTATTTATTTATTTATTTATTTACTTCATTTATATACTGCCTTTCTCAGCCCCTTGGGCGACTCAAAGCGGTTAACAATAGCAAAATTCAATGCTCAACATCATAAAAAGAGTAAAAAAAACCCAATTAAAAACAATGACATAATCTTCTGAAATTGCAGTAGATATGTACTTTTAGATATGTCCTTACAACCATGAAAACTGGAAACATATCTGTCTTTTTTAAATGGGATCCTTTTTGTCTCTGGAAGCTAAATTCTGGTTTAAGGCCACCACGTGCTTGCTGATTTTATTCACCATTGAAGTGTTGCCTTCAATGCAGCTATAGTTGTATATTCCTGCATGGCAGAATGGGCTTGGGACTGGATGGGCCTTGTGATCTCCTCTAAGATTCTATGACAATATCACTTTACCCTTTGTACAGATGATGGTGAGAGTGACGACTCCTCAAAGTGTTCTCTTTATGAAGACTCTGATGAGGACGGCGACAGCACATCTGATTCGGAGAGCAGTTCTTCCTCCTCATCTTCCTTGTCATCGTCGTCATCTTCCTCTGATGAAGAGGAAGAAGAGGAGGAGGAGGAGGAAGAGGAGGAGGAGGAAGAGGAGGCTGAGAGCATGGAAGAAATGGATGCATCGGCCATGAACAGCTGCCCAAGTGAGTCAACGGGAAGCACAGAGGAAGTAGAACAGCAAGCAACTAATGCTGAGATGGACAAAAAGAAGCCAGAAGCAGCTCTACTTCAAGGTGAGATGCACAGCTCTTGATTTTCCTTGGGAGTTGTACTGTCAGCTTTTGCTCTTTTCCTTCTGTTTGTCGTTGAGTTCAATGTTATATGTTTTCCCCACTGAGTCTCTAAACAGCTTCTTATTTATTGGATCCCTTAAAATGATTCTTGAAAGTTAGTTTATAGTAGGCCTACAATGAATGAAAAATGCCTCTAATTATTACCAATGAATTATTTCTGTACAATGTTTAAAGATACTGAGATACAGTAGAGTCCTGCTTATCTGACCTTTGCTTATCTGACATTCCGTCTTATCCGACGCCCCCCTTTTCCTCCAGCATTTCCTCTTCAATTAAAGGAGTGCTCTCCAACTCTCCATTCCCAATAAGTGAAAAAGGCAAGACGAGGAGGGAGGAAAGGGCGAAAAGAGGCAGGACCGAAAGCAAAAGTGTTCTCCTTCCTTCCCGCTGTGATTTCCATGCTTCTCTTCCACATCCGGGCACTACCTGCTGGGACACTCTAGCCCTGAGGCATTGTCTTGCCTTAACCCTTTGAGTCCCTGTTGTTAGTATTCTAGGTGTCTAGCATTGCATTGGACAGATAACAGTAGGAGACTCCGTAATATCCGACATTTTCATTTATCCAACTTTCTGCTGGCCCATTAATGTTGGATAAGCGAGACTGCAGGGGTCCACAAACTTTTTAAACAGAGGGCCAGGTCACAGTCCCTCAAACTGTTGGAGGGCCGGATTATAATTTGAAAAAAAGAAAGAAAAAAGAATGAATTCTTATGCATATATCTTATTTTGTAGTGCAAAAATACTTTAAAATGCAATAATTAAAATGATGAATCATTTTAACAAACTTAGTACTATTTCAATAGGAAGTGTGGGCCTGCTTTTGGCTGATGAGATAGCATTATTGTTGTTGTTGTTGTGTGCTTTCAAGTTGTTTCAGACGTAGGTTGACTCTGAGCGAGGGTTGGGTAAATGACCTTGGAGGGCTGTATCTGGCCCCCAGGCCTTAGTTTGAGGACCCCTGCTCTACTGTATAGATTAAAAGGCACTGCAAAGCATTCCCTGATCTCTCTACCTCTGGATAATGAGGACAAATGTATTGAATTTATTGTGAAAATAACCAAAAAACAAAGCTAACCTTTGGAATTTAGTTTGGTGATGACTGGGAGTACAAATTCTGGAAATCTCTAAAAATACATTCTTGTTGCATGCTTTCAAGTCGCGTCCAAGTCATGGTAACCCTAAAACGAACCTAGGGTTTTTTGGCAAGATTTATGCAGAGCATGCTTTACCTTTCCCTTTCTCTGGGACTGAGCGTGTGCCCAATGAGTTTCTACGGTCAATCAGATATTCAGAGTTTCTCTCAAAAGTCATAATCCCACGATAAAACTCCTACACGGGCTCTCCAATCTTCAATGACTTCTAGGTGCTAAACACTCTATTGTTTTCCCATCACTTCAATGACATAAAATAATTTATCTGATGGTTTCATTGCCTCTTATTGAATATTGAATATTTAACTGTTTACAAAGGCTATTTTTGGCTTTTGCTGTTTTTATGTTGTTCAGTTTCTTATTGCCTCAGTTACTCAACAGAGTATGAGGGACTTGACAGCCCATGGAACTGGCCTGTCTATAGAGTTTTGTCTGTATTAAACATCTCCCTTATGTATTGCTTAGATCTTGTGGCAGAAGAGAAGCCTGCTCCCCAGGAGGATAGCATGCAGGTCCCACCGCCAGAAGAGAAGGATGTTGAAGCAGCACTGGAAGAGCGGCCCAAGCCAGAGGAACGGCCTTCTTCACCCATCCCACTTCTGCCACCACCCAAGAAACGCCGAAAAACAGTCTCCTTTTCAGCTCCTGGTGAAGAGGATGAAACCAAGGGGGCTTTGGAGAAGCCACCTGAACTGGCACATCCAGTTCTTCTCCCTCCACCACCCCCTCCTGTTCCCTCTACCCCCACAGATGAAGCACAATCCCCACTAGTGCCTGTGGAACCCATGCTACCACCCCAAGTGTCCTTATCTCCTGAAGCCCCCGCTCCCATTGCGCGTCCCCTGCCCCCTGTAACGTTTCCCATTAAGCCAGCGCCTGCGGCTGGCCGCAAGCGGGAGTCTCCCAAAGCCAGCCAAAGAACAATCAGCAACCTGCCAGCAGACCATGCTTCTATGGTGAAATGTTGGTCAGAAGAGCTGGCATCTCCTGGCCGGTCCCGGAACCGCTCTCGTTCCCGTTATTCGGACCACCTTCGGGTCCCCCCGCCCCCTGAAGAAAAAGGCCTGCAGGTACGCGAACAAATGGGCGCCTCCTCATTGCTAGAACTAGCCAATCAACCCCACCGGGCCACGCTGACAAACATGGCTCTTAAGAGGCCTGCTGGTGCTGGTGGAGAAAACTCTGAGGAGACCGAGACCTCCGATGAGACTGAGGAATCCAAGACAGCGGTGCCACCTCCTCCTATCCTGTCTCCTGAAGCCAGCAGCATCCTAATGGAGCATAATTATGCCATGGCTGTCCGCGCTGCCCCTCGCAAGGCGGATGAGGCAGGCTCTATCGATCTGTTGCGAATGGATTTGTATAGTGAGCAGATGGGTGAGATTCTGGAGGCTCCTGAGGAGGTGGTGGCAGATGCCACTGAGACCAAAGCTGAGCCTGAATTAAGGGACCTGGTTGCACTGCCCCCTCCGCCTTCTCTGCCAGCGGAGAAACCCAAAGCCACTGTCCGAGAGCAGCAGCAGCCCCAAACCAAGAAGGCACATTCTAACTGGCTCAAAGAGGAAGCATTAATAAAGGACCCAGGGCTGTTACCCTTTGGGCCCGAGGACCTCTTTCCTTCAGACAGTGAAGAGGAGGAGGAGGAGGAGGAAGATGAGGAGGAAGAAAGTGCTGACAGCAGCGATGAGGGCGAGATTCGCAGGAGATCCCTGCGTTCCCATTCGCACAAGCATGCCCCAGCCAAGCCACCTCCTCCGCCTCCTGTCTTTGAGACGCGCAGTGAGTTTGAGCAAATGACCATCTTGTACGACATCTGGAACTCAGGGCTAGACTTGGAGGACATGAAGTACCTGCGGTTGACTTATGAGCGCCTGCTGCATGAGGACAACAGCACGGACTGGCTGAATGACACCCACTGGGTCCACCACACCAATATCCTTTGTGAGCAAAAGAGGGGGCTACTTAGGAAGGATGTTCTTGTATCTGAGAACTTGTTTTATATCATTTTGAGTATTGTAGTTCTTCCAGAGATTTCTAGGAATTAAGGAAGCCTGCTGAGAATTGTTTTAGAGATTCCTAGTCTTTCCTCCAACATAATGCCACATCTAAAATTCCATAGGAAGAAGAAATGAACATTTAAATTGGTTACCTCTATTGTATGGGTGTACCGTATATACTTGAGTATAAACTGAGTTTTCAATCCTTTTTTGGCTGAAAAAGCCCCCACCGGCTTATACTCGAGTCATAGTTATTATTTTACTCTGTTGTTATTGTTGTTATTATTATTACATTTATTATTTGACTTTACTATTGTTATTACATTTATTATTTTACTCTATTATTATTGAAAGGATATGTAAGCACATTTACATTGAAGAAGGTTAGAATAATGGTTTAATCAGAGTTGGGCAGTCTTATCTTAAATTACAGTTGTATGTAAATATTCAAAAACGTTTAACCTTCTGATGCCTTATTAATGTAATTTTATTGGTATCTATTGTTATTTTGAAATTTACCAGTAGTGGCTGCATTTCCCACCCTTGGCTTACACTCAAATTAATATGTTTTCCCAGTTTTTTATGGTAAAATTAGGTGCCTCGGCTGATATTTGGGTTGTCTTATACTCGAGGATATATGGTAACATGGATCTTTCCATCCTATCATATGAGAAGATGCCTAGCTAAGCATATTGGTAGGATTTGCAAATTTTTAATTTCAAAAACAAACAAAAATTACAGCCATAGAAATCTCAAGCATTTGATTTTTCTGGTTTGGCAATATGATATTACTGTGTGTAAAAATGCACATTAACCTTTTAATCAAACTTACATGTGTAGTGCTTTCCACTAAAACCCAATCAATTTCTGCTGTTGTTGGTGAACTGGGAACTCTTTTGTTTTATATTCACCATTATCTTTCATTCCAAAGTTTCAGGATGGAAGTTTATGACCATATGTTTCATTTTTGAGGGTCACAATAGATTGGATGCTATGTTGATTCTGCCTTACTCTAGGGCAGGCCTGCACGATTTGTGGTCCTCAAGGTTTTTCGGACTCCAGCTCCCAAAATTGGTCAATCTGGCTAGGGCTTCTGAATGTTGGAGTCCCAAACACCTGAAGGGTCACAGATTGTGCAGGTCTAATCTTGAGCTACCTGGTTAAATTTGTTGCTGTAGAGAGAAAAAGTGTAGACATTGGAGAGCAATATTTTTTCTCTTCTTCTCCTTCAGTTGGAGGCATGAGTTCCAGTGCTCATTCCTTCTTCTCACCTTGATTCCAAGGTTTCTAAAGAGGCATGTTGTTTTATACCTCAAGCCATAAGGCAGTAAGAGATACTGAGTTTGGGTCCCATTTTCTTGCTGCTATCTTCCTGCATATTTCTCTTTCTTCTCCTTAACTCCCCCTGCCTCCACTCACAAACATTGCAAACCCAAAGCGGAAGCGGAAGTCTTCGGATCTGCGGGAACATCAGACAGGCTGTGCCCGCAGCGAGGGCTACTATCACATCAGCAAGAAGGAAAAGGACAAGTACCTCGACGTGTGCCCAGCCATCGTACAGCAACTGGATGCCCCTGATACACAGGTCTGACTCCCTTTGCTGAGATGTGTCCCCTCTACCCCTTCCTACCAATCCTGAAATTTACCACTTTTTTTGAACTGGTGACAAACCTATTATTTATTTATTTATTTATTTATTTACGGCGCTTATATGCCGCCCTTCTCACCCCGAAGGGGACTCAGAGCGGCTTACAATATATATTTTCATACAATATATTATATTATTAGCAAAGTACAATATCAGTATATATTACTATATTGCACTATACCATTATATTGTAATATTATTAGTAATATTACATGTAATTAAATATATAATTATAATTATAATATTGAATTATTATTACTAGTATTATATTGTATTACATTACAATATTATAAATATTACATGTACATACAATATACTATATTATATTATTAGTAAAGACAAGATGGCAGTGTCTTCTGCTCCCCTCTGTCTTCTCTCTGGCCAGAGCAGTCATTGGTGCCAGAAGGGGGAGGGGCCTCTGAAGTGATGTTATAGGCAGAAGACAAGATGGCAGTGTCTTCTGCTCCCCTCTGATAACCTAGAATTATTACTAGCTGAAAAGTATAGAAATAAATACCTTTGAGAAAAAAAGATTAGAACGTGACATATTCCACGTTAAAAACATGTAAAAAGTTTATGCTAAAACGCAAAATGGCTGAACTACTTACTTTAAGAGTTACAGAAAAAATATGAGTGGACCAGGATGGACTGTGGTGAAAATAAACCCCAGATATTGGAAACCTCTGACCTGTTCTAGAGTATGCCCATCAAGAGACCAATGACAAGGGGAAAGGTTTTTCTCAAGTACCATAACTTTAGATTTCTCATAGTTAATTTTTAGGTCATTCTGGGAACAGTAATTCAAGAATTTCCTTAGTAAATAGTTTATATATATTTTTTTGAGTATTTATATCCTGTCCTTCTCACCCCCAGAGGGGGACTCAGGGCGCTTACAAAGGACAACTATTAGATGCCAGCAATATAAAAGTAAAATATCACAAAACATTTATGTACATGCAATTTAAGACAGTCCGCAAGTTCAAACTCATGGTCCAGGTCAGTTCATAGGCGGTCACTTAAAACAATCTCTTCCTACTTGCTTCATCTACTTCTGAAATGCTTGATCCCACAGCCAGGTTTTGAGTTTTTTTTACAAATGGCCAGGAGGAAGCGGGCAGATCTAATTTCATTGGGGAGGGCGTTCCATAGCCGAGGGGCCACTATGGAGAAGGCCCTGTTTCGACCAGCCTTGGCGTGTGAGATGATAACATCATCTGCATAAAGCACTAAGGAGATTCTCCTAGTTCCTAGCATGGGCAAGTGTCCATTGTTGTCCAAAAGGGTTTCCTCCATGTCATTTATAAATATTTTGAATAAGGTGGGGGCAAGGATGCAGCCTTGACGGACTCCTCTGGACATGGAGATCTCACCAGAGAATTGATCCAGGTTGCCACATCTAATCTGAAGTTTGCTGTCACTGTAAAGGGCCTTAATAAGGCCAAGAAGTCTTTTATCTTTCAGCCTCTTACTCAGTTTTCCCAATAGTTTATTTCTAGAGATGAAGTCGAATGCCAGTTTAGGTCCATGAAACAAACAGCTTGCCTTGTAGGACTCTAATATGTTTCTCAGCAAGATGGGAGAGCACTAAGCAGTGGTCAGTGGTTGAGTAGTTCTTTCTAAAAGCTGTTTTTTGTCAGTAATTGCGTTATTTGACTCCAAGAAGGAAGAGAAGTCTCTTGCACAAATATCGTGCATTGAGTTTCCCATAATCGAGAGCAAACTGATTGGTCTCTAGTTCCCTGGTTCACTGGTAGGATAAATGCAGGATAAATCCCGATTTACTTTTGAGAGAAATTGAATTGCCTTTTAGAGATGTGAGATCTCTTCATACTGCTGATGGCCACTTTAATGCGTGGTCTCACCTCAAAGCTGGATGAGCCAGTGGCTGAGAGAAGGGGAACTCCTTTGCGGACTCATACACTTCATGAAGTCATATTTAACAACCTTCCTTTTCCTCCCCAGGGCACCAACCGCATCTTGTCTGAACGGAGGTCTGAGCAAAGGCGCCTTCTCAGTGCCATCGGATCTTCTGCCATCCTTGATAGTGATCTTCTGAAACTTAACCAATTGAAGGTACGCAAGCTGTCCAGTTAAGCGAGTGTGAGAAGGACTGAACAAGAAATGTTCAGTGAATACTTTACTAATAATGTAATATAGTATATTGTATATACATATAATATTTATAATATTATAATGTAATACAATATAATGCTAGTAATAATAATACAATATTATAATTATATATTTACATTACATGTAATATTACTAATAATATTACAATATAATGGTATAGTGCAATATAGTAATATATAATACTGATATTGTACTATGCTAATAATATAATATATTGTATGAAAATATATCTTTTAAGCTGCTCTGAGTCCCCTTCGGGTTGAGAAGGGTGGCATATAAATGCCGCAAATAAATAAATGTCGCCTGCAGCAGGGACAGGGGACTTGCTTTCATTGTGTCCCTTGGAAGGGAAAGATCACAGATATGGACCAGCATATATTTGAAAATGCTGAGACTTCCTGGAAGTTGTACTGAGCTAGATACAAAAAGATTTTATTCTTGCTTTAAGAGATAGGAGAGAGAGAGAGCAAGCTTTTAATAAGACTTTGTGTGCAGTCACAAAAAAAATATTTTTTTTGAGTTTTGAGGAAATCTACCTGTTCTCCCAGATTATGTTACCCAAGCAAACTCCATGTATTTAGTTGGGTTAGGATCTTCCGTCTATAGTTCTTGCATTCTAGAATGAGAAGCAGGGAGTTCATGGAGCACTGGGACCATAAGTGTATAGGGCAGGATGGATAATTGTGACAAAGCTGGTGGGTCTCACAGGAGTTGGAAAAATCTCTGGAAGGCTGGAGTTTGTCCACCTTTTATCCTGAGGATGAAATCAATTGCAATCTTTCCCCAGTGCCCATGGGTTAATGTCACTTATTTTATTCTGAAAAGGGACTCTGAATGGTTCGGAGTGTTTTTTCTTGGCTCCACAATCCTTACGTTCAGAATGAACCCAAACCATCAACATGTTTCTAGCAAGCAAGCAAAGTTTATTGATTAGTCCATTGACCATATCAACATTAAAAACAAAAACAGAAACGTGCACAAATAGACAATAATCACTATCCTAAGACTCCCATAATAGTGAACTAACATACATTCAAACTTGATTAAGTTAAAAAATAATTAAAAATATCATCATTAAAATGCTAAGGTAAAATTTCACACCACAAAAATTAAAAACGAAGGTTAAAACGAAGGTTAAAATAGACCAGCTATTACACAATGCCAAGCCACTTCAGATATCTGTGTCACCCCTACAGTTTACCCCAATCGCCTCCAAATACGCAGTTCTCAGCTGCGTTGCTTTATAAAGGAAAAGGGCTGTTTGGTGTGTTATCTTAGCATTCTGGCCAGCCATTAAGAATGTAGTTTTGATATGGGGATCCCAGTGAATCTTTTGTATGATGAATGATCCGAGGTATTGATTTCTCTCTTTGTTGTACAAAATACAATTAAACAGTACTTGTGTAATATCCTCTACCTCTGTCGCCCCACAGATACAGAAACGTTCATTATATGGAACTTGGTTAAACCTTCCATGTTTAACCATTGTATCTGTCTGTTCGAATCAGGTTCTAGTGAATATCCTCCTTAGATGTTTAGGCATTTCTGTCTAGGTATTCAGCTGTTTGAAAAGTATGTCTGAAGCGACTTAACCATTTCAGTGAGCCAGCTTTACTAAGGGTGGCAATGTCTTTCTGAGCCTCTATATTCTATATTCGTTGTGCCACTATTTTTGTATAATTCTTTTAAGAGATTTGGGTATAGAATAGAAGGCCACAACTCCTGATGTATTTTGTCAGTTGCAGTAGCCAAGATGTTTCTAGCCTTATTGGAATTGTATTGATATTTTAGGGGTTTGCTGGCAGGGAACATAGATTTTAATAATCATTTGCCTGTCCCTGCAAACTTGCTCCAAGTTAAGACCAGTAAGTACCACACTTTTTCTCTACATCTTCTGTCTCCTTCCTCCCTTGTAGTTCCGGAAAAAGAAGCTACGGTTTGGCCGGAGCCGAATTCACGAATGGGGCCTCTTTGCAATGGAGCCAATTGCTGCCGACGAAATGGTCATTGAGTATGTGGGTCAGAACATCAGGCAGGTGAGTGTCAGTAAGGATTAGGCTATTTTATTTCCTTGGTGTCTTATGCAGAGGTGTCTTCATAATGTAAGAATGAGAAAGCAAGCATGGGAAAATTTCGGCCCTCCAGGTGGTTTGGACTTCAATGGCCACAATTCCTAACAGCCAAAAACCTTTGATGGCCAAAGTTTCCCCATGCCTGGTCAAAAGGCAGCCTCTAACCTTGACAGTTTCAGTTTTGTTTGTATCAGAAAAAGTAAACCTGAAAGTGTTCTGAAGTGTTGATGAGCCTGCTTAGTATGCCTACCATCAGAAGACACTAGGAGGTGCTGTGGGGACTTCTTGGAGTAGAACAAGCCTCTTTCTTAGAGCACAATTTCCTTTAAATTCTAACCTTTTTCTTCAGCTAGCAAAGATAATTATGTTTGTTGGTGCGAGGGGCATAGTTGCTAGATGGACATTCTTGTGAGAAATACTGCAATAGTAATGGCCCAGTTTCATTTTTTCACACTAGAAAATAATCTTTTGACTGCTTTCTTCTGATTCTTGACCTAAGTGATCAATTCCTTGCTAGATAGAGCAGCTTGTCCTTAAGTCAGTTCTTCTGTTCCTAAATAGTACCTCATATGTGTCCTGTCCCCCCAAGGTTGTGGCTGATATGCGTGAGAAGCGATATGCCCAGCAAGGCATTGGAAGCAGCTATCTTTTCCGTGTGGACCATGACACAATCATTGATGCCACCAAATGTGGAAACCTAGCCCGATTCATCAACCACTGCTGCACGGTGAGTTACATGAGATTTACAGAGAAAAATGCTCCTGCTATTGCTCTTATTGTTGTCAATATCAAATGAATCCAATTTCTTCTTTGTGGTTTCTGAGAATCACACAAATGCATTAATTTGTGTCTAATTTATATAACACCGCCAATTACCAAAGCATTGTACTGAGTAAGATAAACAACGGCAGCAAAACCCCAAGTCCCTGGCCCAATTAGCATTACTTGAATTTTTTGCAATCACCTAAATCTGCATACTGTATATACTCAAGTATAAACTGACCTGAAAATAAGCTGAGGCACGTAATTTTACCACAAAAAACTGGGAAAATCTATTGACTCGAGTATAAGCTGAGGGTAGAAAATGTAGCAGCAACTGGTAAATTTCAAAATAAAAATAGATACCAATAAAATTACATTAATTGAGGCATGAGTAGGATAAATTTTTTGAATATTATTATTTACATAAAACTGTAATTTAAGATAAGACTCTCCAACTCTGATTAAACTATTATTCTAACCTTCTTCAATGTAAATGTGCTTATGTATCCTTCCAGTAATAATAGAACAAAATAATAAATGCAATAATAACGATAATAAATAGAGTAAAAAATAAACATAATAATAACAACAACAAATAGAGTAAAATAATAAATGTAATAATAACAATAATAAATAGAGTAAATAGTAAATGTAATAATAACAATACTAGAGTAAAATGATGTAAATGTAATAATAATAATAATAATAAATAGAGTAAAATAATAAATGTAATAATAATAATAATAATAATAATAATAATAATAATAAAGTTTAATAATAAATATGTTTGACTCGAGTATAAGATGACGGGGGCTTTTTCAGCCTAAAAAAGGGCTGAAAAACTCGGCTTATACTCGAGTATATACAGTAATTCCAATTTTAAAAGTCTACTTTTAGGAGTCTTGTCAGCAAGCATGAATTGTGACCCCAAAACCTCTTCTCAATTTATACATGAGGTTGACTAATGCACAAATTATAGACAGTCTTTTAACATTTCATATGCACAAGTATTCTGTTGTTCCCTTGTCCCTAAGTTCTGGGGAACTGGCATCATAAAATGGAGAGGCAGTGCTGCTGGCATTGGCACAGAGCCGTCCCTGCAGCTCATTTCTTCCCATCTTTCTCTTCCTCAGCCCAACTGCTATGCCAAAGTCATCACCATTGAATCCCAGAAGAAGATTGTCATCTACTCCAAGCAGCCCATCAGCATCAATGAGGAGATCACTTACGACTACAAGTTCCCAATCGAGGAGAACAAGATTCCCTGCCTGTGCGGCACAGAGAATTGCCGGGGCACACTGAACTGAGAGACATAACCATAGAATTCATATTTATTTTGTTTCCCCGCCCCATCTCTCTATGCGACCACCATTGTGTCACCATGTAGCTCATCTCATCTCCCCACAGAGCTGTGGTGGGAAAACTCTCAGTCCCTCTAAGACCTGTCCAGGTACCTTTTAAACTTCCTAACCCATGAGAAAGCACTTCCTCGGTTCCTAATCAATGAGAAACTCCTTTTCCTTCATTGCAGTCAGCTGGCAACATGTCTTTGATGTTGCTATGATTTTTTTCCAATCCTCCTTTTTAAATTCCGCTCCTCCTTGAGAAAATCATTTCACGAAAAGTATGTAGGTTCAGACCTTTGGCAGAAAGGAAATATATCTTTCCCTATTCATGATAAGGAAAGATTGGTTGGGGTAATTCTTCAAAACTAAACAAAATCTTCTTAGCTATGAAAACAGCTTGGCGAATGCGCCAGTTGACTATTTTCCTTCTAAGTGTCCATAGATTAATAGAACTCAAAAGGAAAACTTTTTTCACAATGCCAATCTTAAAAGTTTTCCTCTTGAGTGGAAACTTCCTTGTGATCAAGACTTCGATGTGGCTTCTTGAGGCAGAGCATCACTTTGATGCCAGAAATGGTCAGTTAAGAAGTACCCCAACCAAGGCTTGAAATACCAAGGCCATTGAGTATTTTTTCCTTTCCTCCCATTTCCAAAGGTTAAATTAGGGTGTGGTGATGTCTGGGAGGGAGAGTCTGTCCCCATTCCTATCTCTTCCAGAGCAATCCTTTCTCCAGAGCCTGGGTCTGGGATGAGACACTGATAATCAGTGGAGTCAGAATGTCCTTGGAGTTTCATGCTGCAGCATCATTCATCGGTATTTGTCATCATGAGCCAAAATGTGAGCCACTTTATTTTAGATCCCTCTCCATCTATTCTTACAAGCACTTGAGGCCACAGCATTAGAGATCCTAAAACAGTTGGGTTGTGTCATTCACGCTGTAACCTCCCTGACCTTCTCCTTTCCTCTTGTTCTATTCTGTAACATTTAGCAAGAAGTAGGGGGAAGCATCTCCCATGATAGTGAAGGGAGGGGGGTTGAATTTCTTTCCCTGCTACACTTAACAGCTTCAGCCAGGCTGACTTGCAGTGTAAGCTAATCCCTGCCCACCCCACCCCCTAATAATTTTTCTTTAGGAGAAGAAAGTTGTGTATATATCTATTCCAGATGGATTGGCTGTTTCTTGTAGAAACACATACATTTATTGGTATGTAAATATTTTAATTGTTTTTTGTTTTGTTTTTTGTTTTGTTTTCCACTTCATACTAAAAAGAAAACTGTAAATAATGTTACAATGTGTTTCCTTCTCCTGTTTTTATTCCCACTTGCAATGTGGCACCCTTTTCTTTGTTTTTGTCCTGGGAAAGAACATACATCCTTTTGGATGATGCATTGGAGGGGATAAGAAAAGTGGTTTGTTCTTCATCGGAGTCAGTTTTGAAAGACGGAAGGCTTTAAACAAAACATTTGGAAATATTTTAGGAACTTTTTGTAAAAAAAAAAGAAAAGAAAAGAATCGGTCAGCATTCTGTTTGTTGTGTATGTTGCTATTCCAACTAATTACTGAATACTTGAGCCATTCCCTTTGAGAGCACTTTTTCTCTGGCAAACGTTTTCTTCGAATCCATGTGGTGTTCTTATATTTTTCTATCCCAAAGGTTCATGAAGCACTGGGAGAAAGCCTTTCAGTAAATTGCCCATTATGTGCCACGTGCAATTGTTAGTCCCCAACCACAGTAGATGCATTGAAACAATAGGACACGTATCAGCTTTGACTAAACGAGTCTCATTAATCCACCGTGTCCACTCTAGTTAGGACGATGAGTTGGATTTAGCACTCTGCCTGCAAATGTAGGTTTCCAATGATGTTTGAATTACGGGGAGATTTCAGGAACAGATGCAAAGGGGCTGGACCACCATCTTCTTGTTGCTGCCATTCTGCTGAAACTCTCCTCCAGACAGGCAACTGTTTTATTTTATTTCTCCATTTCCATTCACTAGGGTGGGGGCGGGAGCAGGGGGGGAGGGAACAGAAGGTCAGTAGGTGTAGCCATCTTACCAGAAGTATAAAATGGATCTTCTGTGACAGACAAGGGAAATCATGTGGTCCTCCAAATGTTGCTCAATTGCAGTTCCTATCATCCCTGCCTAGACTAGCCTTTAGTGAAGAGTGATTAAGAGTTATAGTCCAGCGGCATAAGGAGAGCTACCCATTTCCCGTCCCTTCTTTGTGAGATATTGTCTTTTGTTAATCTCACAAGGGATGAGATGGTAGAATCACTGATTCAAATTCCACGTTTCAGAGGGAGGAATGGGATATTACATTTTCGGGTACAGTTTGCCAACTACATTCTTGCTGAATAAGGTGGACACTGGGTACGTTTGTAGGGAGGAAGGTGTTGGCAGGACAACACATTCAATGAACGCTTTACCCGCTGCTTGTCTTTCCTCACCCAAACAATCCTTCCAGCTTCTCTGCAGCTAGGATCCAGGAGCGGCTTAAGCCCATGCAAGGACAACTCCAGAAAGAAGAAGCTCAAGATGAAAACTTAAGCCTCTCCTGCGCTCCACCACTTCACCCTTGAACGTGTTTCCTTCCCATTCCTACTCTTTTTCTGTTATTTAGCAAATCTTCATGGAAACCAGGGTGTGAGGATGGGTGTCATCCCAACTTTCTTCCAATATACTGAAGGCTGCATAAGACCTAGTAAGTGTCATCTTTCATTTGGCTCTGTTTTTTCCCATTTGCCTTTCATGTTTCGTCTGTTATCTTGGCAGACGGCTTTAAGGTCATAATTGTTTCCTACCCTTGCTCCGATGAGGTTATGAATTTGAACCCAAGCAGTATCTTGGCATTGCATTCTTGGATGTCTGCCCCCCAACCCAATTCCTGGCTAATATGAAATAAAATTCATAAGTAACCTTTTTCTGAGGAGGTGTGATGAATCCCCCATTTAGAGTTAGGAAGTAATCCTTCCATGCTCCAAAAAATAGAGGCTGGCTTAAATCTTATGCTCTGAAATGCTCCAACAGAAATTATCCAGTGGAGGTTTTTCAGAGAGTTAGAAATTATATCTTCCAATTACAAGAAGTGAAAAGCAAAACACTTGTAAGAGGCATGCTGAAAACTGTTAACTTTGGGGGTTTTGTGTTTGGCAGAGACTTGCATAACTCTCCTCCACCCTTTTCCACTCTCCACGTTTCCACAACTTCCTTTCTGTTTTCAGACCGTGTCCTAGCAACTGGTGAAGTGGAAAAGCTAGAACAGCGGCTATGTATTCTTCACCTGTTTTTATGGGCACAAGCGTAGACAAAAACAGTAGATCGCTGCCTTGTGGTTTCATTTCAATGTGGCATCTTTTTGTCTCCAAACATTTTTGGACTCCTTATTCCATTCCTCGGTGCCTAGGCTTGCCACCTTTTTTTCTGTCAGTGTCAAAACAGCGATTTCATCCCTTTAATTTTCTAGAGATTGGATTAAGGCGGGAATATATTCCCCCCCCCCCCTTTCCTTTGTCGGTTTGTCATTTTCAGGTGCTGGTTTTCCTCAGATCAGGTTAATACCTACATGCTTCTCACATAACATGTGTCCTACATGAGCTAATTGAGAATTTATCTAGGTGCCAGTGATAGCAAACTGCATGCATTAGGCAGTCTCTTTTTCCTCTCTCAAGGCCCTGCTTTTGCTGAAGAAATATTGGCTTGCCTTTGATGTGTTCTCCCAACTCAAATCATTTCTATATTTAAATTTTTAATCGCGCTCTTCCCGTCTGTTCTTAGCTTTTAATATTTTGTTTCATTGTAGCAGTGGGGTTTTTTTAAAGGAAGTCTACTTCTTTCCCTATTTGTGCGGATATGCTTTTAATCCTTAATGGTGCAGATCCTCTGTTGTATTTTTTTTCATCTTTGGATATCTATATTCCCTTTAATTATTTTCCCAGATGTGCATTTTTTCCCATTTCAAGTTATTTTCACTCATTAGCAAAATGAATTCCTGCCACCTAGCAAATTAGACAACAGGGTATGGCGGAAGTCTTTATACAAGGTCTCCCCAGGGTTTTAAAAAATTCAAATCCAACAGGTTGGGATCTGGAAATTGAAGTTCCTATTTTTGCAAGACTCTCTCCAGATTTATATTTCAACAGCTCTTCCGATTAAGCCTTACATATTCGGAAAATAGAACGTACAGCTCTCTTTGCTTTCTTACTTCCCAACTATATAAACCATTAGCTACACTTCAGTCATTTAATTAGCATTTTTAAGATTTCTGCTAGATTCTGATTTTTATGTGAAACCTGAGTCAGAATAGATTTTGCTTATAGTCAGTTTAATATTGCTATGTGAATTACAATTAAGGCTTCTTTTAAGTACAGTACATTCGCAGAGGAAAGAGATAAGAGATTCAGTCATTAATTGGATGCATTGCTCAGTAGCAAGCTTTTGAAAAATGGACGAAATCCTGGCAGATTGGCACAGCTCCATTTCAGTCTTCTATTTTTAATGGATTTTTTTTTTTACTGCTGAAAGCTTGCGTGATTTGATATCATTTTGAACTCCCAATATATTCATGAGAGATTTGGGTTACTTTTCAGACATGCCATCTCATGTTTGAGGCTTGTAACTTACCTGTAAGATAAAACCAAAGAATGTTACATACACTTTGAGGTTTGTTTTTTAAAACTGAAGCAGTCGTGCTTTGTGGTGTTTGCGCCAACATTTCACATTCTTTGGTCCATTTAGTAGGCCTTGATGTATCTACATTTTTCTTACGTCTTTCAAGGAAGATTCTTATTAAATGTCATGGTTTTGGCAAGGACTTGTTTGTCTTTTCCAGGTGCAAGTTGAATCCATTTCTCTCCTGTGGATCAAACCAATTCCTCTGATTGATCATGTAGCCAGCAAGTCCTTAACCTTCTCAGGAGACAGTATATCCTCAGCATCTGGTTATAAGTCATGTACACAGTTTATTTTCTCCTCCTTTCTCATATTTACAAGAGTTTGGTTGCTCTTCATGTCTAGAAGGAAAGGGGGAAAAGTGCTTCTCAACTTGGCTGTATCCAACACAACTGTGTCCCTCCTGACAACACAAAATTGCTGAAAACAACAATTAAACCTCTCTAAAGGATTCCAGATGCTTTTAACCCAAAAATATAAAGTTCCTTAGATCTTTCAGAACTGACTCCTCTATTTGCCAGCTTGTAAAGCTGGTGTTTCTGAATGACCCATCCACTTCTGTCTCTACGTGCATTTTCTCCTGTGTACATATATGTAAAAAAAGGTATATATACAGAAATTATCTCTATACCAAGGAGGGTGGTGGGCTTCTCAACCTTCCCTTGTAGCAGTGGCAGCTCGCGGAGAGTTTTAAGTGTTCAAGGCCGATGTGGGAATGATCAAACATGAATGGATGAACCCCATTTTCCCCGCTTTCTCCCTCTTAACCCGGACTGGATGCTTGTCCTCAACTGTGTATATCTACTTTTCTGTCCATATAAATATTATATATAGAGATATATAAATATATATAAATATATTTTCATTTGATCTTATTGGCTTCTTACCTGTAAATATGTTAATAATTTGTGGATTCATTACTTGGTGCCAGATAGCACATTTTTATAAAAGTCATTAAACTTTTATTGTACAAAAATACCCCAAAAGATTGGGAATTATCTTCATCTTCATTTCTGTTCTTGGGGTACATTGCAGATCTGAATGGTTCCCTCCCAATGAAACTTAATTTGAATGTACTAAATCATTCTGCTTATCTGTCTGTTTATCTATCATCTATTTATTGAATTTACAACCTCCCTTTTCTTCCCAAATATCCATAGCTTATTTCCAAAAGGAACCACACTTCTACCTGAAGTGAACAGCACTCAGTGAATTCCATCCAAACTATAAACACATTTGAGAAACTGCAATGGTATTTAGGCAGTTTTGATATGTTTTCTGTCTGTATAAATCAATTCACTCCATTTGCATATATTACGTGCTTTGCTTGCATCGTTTTATTTTCAAGGAACGCAAAATATTTTTGGCAAAGGAAAAAAAGAGGAAAATGTCATGGGAACTGGACTATAACGAGTAAGGTATTTTTCTGGTGTTTTATGATAACGACGATTTCAAAGGACTGCTTTGGAAGCTCCGCATGGTTCCAACAATGCCACCTTTATTTGTCACTTTAAAATATTGAGAAAATACGTTCAACTTACTCGGATATTCTACAGGGAGTAAGAATATAAAACCTTCTGTTGCATGAAAGCAAAATCACCCAAAATGATCAG